AGACAGAGCAGTTTGTGACTGGAGGCAGCAGCAGGACCACCGCAGCACCCACTGACTCTACAACAGACAGGGTAAGTCCACATATCTGTTATTTGGAAGCTCTTGATTTCATCCAGTTTGTCGCGAGATAATCTGAGATTGAGATTTGGCACCCAGCGTCAGAACATTCAGAGAAAAGTTTGCTGATTCATAAATGTGGAGGAGTCTGTGACGTGGGCGCACAGAGGTGCGTTGTTGTAGAAAACAGCTGGACTTTGTTCTAAAAGTTAAAAAAAGGGGAAAGAAAAGAAAAAGGGATGAACAAAAATTGAAGTTTAATTCAGATAAAAAAATAATAATAATAGGAATCCGAACTAGCTGCTTTAAACCCTGTAAGGATTTATTCTGCAGTGTGTGTGTGTGTGTGTGGGGGGGGGGGGGCGGGGGGGGGGGGGCCTCGACCCCCCCCCCCCCCCCCCCCCCCACACACACACACACACACTGATTCTGACATTAGGTTGAGCTCTATGCTATTTTGGGAATCCTTCACTGCAGTCTGAAGCAAACACTGATCCCTTCAAACCAGATTGGACCTTTTAAAGTGTTGAAAATGGGAGTAAAGTTAGCAAAAGTCATGCATTTTTTTTACATTTTTAATTTCTATATTTATCTRCTCTTTGGATTTAATTACTTTTCTTCATTTCTAAAGTCATGAAAAGTGATCAGGAATATTACCTGCACTCTCTAAATTGGATGAAACCTTGTTATTAGTGTTTTTATGTGACCCATTAGCTTCCCTGCAGGTTCATTTAATGTYACTTCCAGACGTTGGTAGAAAATGGTTTCCCTGATCTCATTGAGTTCTCTCAGGAAACAGTTTTAACTGGCTACAAACTGATCAAATGGTCCCTGAATTCACCCTCTAAAGGAGTGACCATGATGTGTCATTGCAACATCCTTCTCTGCAGCAAGAAACAATCGCTGCCTCCACCAGCACAGAGTGGTTTTTCTTTTTTTGCAATGCACCCACTAAATCAGCACTTCTGTCTCTCTTTATCTCTCCCTTCAGGCCCGAAACTATTGATTTCTGCGCAGCGCTGACACAGAGGTCCAAATACAAACATGGTGAGTGGACGAGACCCTTCTTATCTCGGGGTTGTGTTCGAGCAGATCTCCTGTCTGCTTTCATGTGGCCGGGTTTTGTTTGTTCGATGAATGAAGGTGGGGGCTGGAAGCGAGGTCATCTGCTGTCACCTGGCACCGTCTGAGGCCTCCACATCATAAAGCCAGCCGTGTAGGGTGTCACCGCTACCTGCGCTGGCACACGGACACACCTGTTTCCAGAGGGGGGAGATTGTTTAATGTTGCTTCTGACGGGCAGCAGAGCCTCGGTTAATGAGGGAAAACAGAGGAGATGGTTCATAATTTAAAAACCAAATTAGATCTCAGCACAGTCATGAGCACAGGCAGTTGAGTCCACAGCTCGTTGCTATAGGGCTTGTATTTGTGGGCCTTGTTGCTCTCCAGCTGTCGTGCAGAGTGACGTCTCTGTGCATGTGTTGCACAGAGAGCACGTTCTGCCTCTTAATGCACGAAAGCATACACTAGATTATTTTAAACGAAACAATGCTTACATAACTTAAATATATTGAGGGTAGTTTGTTAAATAAACCTTTTAAGTGTAAATAAAGCACTTAAAGTGACAGTTACAGTTATAGGCACGACCCTTCTGTAAGCGCTACAATACAAAACACAAAACAAAACAAAAAAATCAATCACCACATGAAGTATCTCCTCCTAATAAATAATGTATTTAAGTTACTTGTTACTTTTTTAAATGTGTATTGTTAAGTTCTGTATGTTTTTCAGATATTTGAACAATTTTACAAGGAATTTAAAAGGTTTTACCGCACTAACACCAGCCGCCCTGCCCTGAGTGGTCACAGCTGCAGTAATAAATTTTTTAGTCATTTTAAATTTTAAAGAACCACTTTTACATTTTTATTTGTCATCAGATCAATATTACCCATTAAACATATTGCAATATTAATTACCTTTGTTACAGAGCAGCTAAGCTAACCCCACTGATTAACATATTGCAACTAGAACACGTGTAGTTAGGCATTCAGTGTTTTCTCTAGATTAAGTTCTTATTTCCTAAATTAAACAGCATTTATGTTGTTTTAATGAAACATATTTAACGTATTCTTTTTGCGTTACAAAATCCTTTTTTTAATTAATGGGCCAATATTATGTGTTTCTCAGGCATATATTTAAATACTGTACCATAATAAAGTATCTATGTCACCTTTAGCTCTTAATAAAATGCTGTTTTTATATTTAAATAGAAAATAAACTTACCTTCTCATCACTCGCTCTTCTAAACTCTTTAAAAATGGCCTCTGTCTCTTAAAGAATCACCTTTGCTTCCGTTTTGCCCATTTCGGTGCGGGGGGTCGCACTCGTGGGGGAGGGGGGTAGTGGGGCTGCCATGATGCAGTTTACTTGGCATCTGAAAATACATTTCCTCAAAGGTATTTTTAATCTGAAAAGAGCTTCACTGAGTGAGA